TTCCCTAGCGCCGTATACTATAGTGAAACTTTAGAAAAACAAAATGGCCGTTCAAATTTACCGTTATTTAAAGTCCGTTTTTTCCAAATTTTCGATGTTGTTTTTCTTCTAGACCCCAGCGTGTAAAAGCCTGAAATTTTAGGAGCTTTTAGAGACTAATAAATGCTTCATTTCGTTTGAAAAAAATGTTTTCCATCTCCACCCCCTCTCAAGTTATCGCCTCACACAATTAACCCTTAAAATCGAGCATTATGTTAAGCCCTCTTTATATTAATTTTTGCTCTATTTCAAAGACTGCATATATGCGTCATCCTAAATATATGCAATCCTAGAAATAGTTTGGTTTATGAATGAAAATAATTTTAATAGTGTGGTGCACATACATAGACTGTTTAAAAGCAGTATTTTCACTTGTTTAAGTGAAAAGTGCTACAGTACAAATCATTTGTTTGACACAACTTTATTAAAGGATTTTCTTTATCTCCCGCTACACAAACTAAACTGTCTCCTTCATTAATTTTAATTTTTTTTAGGGGAACCTAAAATCTAAATAAATTTTGATATAACTATTATGTTTGAGGTAAAACAGCTCATGTGCGTTCAGTGTACAAGTTAAAATAAAATAATTCTGTTTGTTAAGCTTTACACTACAGCATTTTGAAGACTACTGTATATATACATAACATATGTATACCATTTTATCATAAAAGAATGAAGAATTCGTTCCTAATTGTTCTAATTATACTAAATGCACAATATTTACAAGTGTATATACATAATTTTTTCCAAATTTTAATTTTTGAAATAACTCTAAACTTTTTCACTGAGTTAATTATACCATACGAATGATGGCATTAAAAAATTTTATAAATCAGTAATGTGTATTCAAATTCACTCGCATAGTATTTAATATTTTTTTCAACGACCATCGAACAGTTGCAAAAACGGAACAATTTTTATATTTTTTAAGGTTTAAAGTGTTATTTTTATTATGTTTTAGAATTAAATGGGTAAAACTAATGCCATATATATCTATCTGGCCACCAAGCTCAGAGAGCAAATCAAAAAATAAATTCCAAATTTATATGGAGTTTAAATGTAAGAAATTTATATGGAATTTACAAGTCGGAATTTATTTGTGTGAAGGAAATTGATCAATATTTTTGCCTCTACTGATTCTGCATATTTTTCTCTACTGATTCTGCACAAGAAATAGTTCTACTTTCCGTTTACATCACACTAATGCAATCACTTACCAATATTTGTATACAAAAAATTCCCTTAGCTAAAAGAGTTAAGCAGCATGCCTTCCTATTTTCATTTTTATACACGGGAATTTTTGGGAGAGGGAAAGAGTACGCAATAGATTAGTCATGGGCAATATCGTTCTTTTCAGTGATTCGTTCTGAACGCACGACTTTTTTTCACTGACCGATTATAAAATCTCGATCAATCGTTCATTTCGTTCACTTCTCTTCGTTCATATAAGACATATTTATGCATAAAATTGAAGGGTAGCTCAGTTCAATGCTTCCTTTCTTTTAACTCATTATATTGCATTTTATTGATACTCGTATTTGATCAGTTCTCGTTCGTTTTTCTTTGTATTGCAATACCAATGGTTATTTAACATATTGTTCAATTTTATTTGTATTGGATTTCATTTATATTTCATGTCCCCTTTTATACAATACTTTTATTTGCATTGTATATTATATTAGTAAGGCAAATGATTGGGTCACTTTTATTTGAAAGGAATACAAAATCATTCTTACTACAGGTCTCGTGCGTTTTAATATTTATTGGATTTAGTATATCGATCAATTTTGCTTGTATTGTATTTATATTGACAACTGATTTGGTCACTTTTTTGTGTATAGTATTTCTTTTATTTTATTTCTCATTTGCTTTTGTCAATATTGCATATAGGAGTATGTCGTTCGTTTTTATGGGTATTGATTTGCTCTCTGAGCTTGGCGGCCAGATAGATATATATGGCTTTAGTCCAGGATTTGATTTTTTGTAATATCAAGAATAGCATACATACATAAGCGTTTTTTTTTTTCAATGAAAACAACAAATCGTAATTATGATTATTAGGTTTGGTAAAAATTCAACTTTCAATTTGAATTTTTGAAGTTTTATAATTTTTTTTTTATTTTTGGATGATAGCATTGACACCTAGTTTCAAACAAAAATTTTAATCATTTTTGATATCCTAATTCTTAAGTGATGGTATATGTTAAAGCATTGATTAACAAATCACCTTGTATACAAAGTAAAAAATAAAAATCTTGCATTTAGGCATAAATAATTGCTTTTCTTACCCAAAATAAAAATTCTAAACCTGTTTGAGCATCCACCATTGTGATAAATTTATTCTACGTATGTATATGTTTCCAACCGGGTAGTTTTTAACATTAATAAACACCCTTATTGTAAATCTTACTACTACCGAAGTAGTAGAAATGTATCACGAAATTGGTAAAAGAGTAAATATGAATCACACTTGTAATGAAAATAAATGTCAAAGTTCTACTAATGAAATTTTCAAACGTAGAAACCCAGTATTCAAGTCAAACGATTTTTTGACACTCTGAAAAATAATATTGCCACTGCAGATTCATAATCGCTACAACTGGGATTTATAATAACTCAAAAGTCTACGTGTCTAACTCAGTTTGAATATTTATATCATAGTTAAGTATTTTTACTAATGCCATATACATATATGTATCTATCAGGCCTCCAAGCTGAAAATCTTTTCCGAAATTTTCAATCGGAAAAAATTACAAAAACAATAATATTGTTAATGTTTTATATTTTCGAAGTATGCCGATTGAAATATTTTTTCATTTTTTTTTTGTGAAATTTTTGAGTATTCCTTATGAATATTATTTTATATAGTATAATTTAAAAAGCCATCTAGATTAAAATTATTAATTTTTTGCTTTTTTTGTACGAGTAATTCAGTACCCTTCCATTTGAAAGACAAGAAAGGTTGTCTGTGCTATAAATTGTAATTTTTTTTTAAATGTATTCTTCAGATGGAATTTACAAATGGATTTTTTTGAAATTTAAATTTTAAATTTGAAAAAATATGTAGAATCAATAGAGCCAAAAATTTTGATTAATTCCCTTCACACAAATAAATTCCGACACAACTTCCATTTAAACTCTATATAAATTTCAAATTAATTTATGATATGCTCTCTGAGCTTGATGGCCTGTAGATATATTTGGCATTAATTTTCACAATAAGGGTGAAAATCTTAACTATGTACCAACAACTGGAAGTTTATTGAATAAGTTAAATTTTGTTGAAAACAGAACAAGAACGAAATTACCGCAACTAATTTAACCGCCAGTGAAAAATTTGCTATTGGGAGGGAGGGCCTTGCAAAAAAAGGTACCAGACTTTTTCTGCATATAAATAAATGCTTAAAACTTTGGAATCAGGTGACACAAAGTAACCATCGGGAGCTTATTTTAAAGGCGATTTTTGTTTATTTCCGATCTCACAATTAATTATTTTTTTTATCGAAATTTCTCGAAAATTTTTATTTTTTTTTGTTTTTTTTTTCGATGTATTACGAGTACGATCCAAAAGTTAACCCATACATTTTCCTCTATTCCTCATAGTTTTACCTGTAAAACGTATTAATAATGTTTAAAAAACATACACATTTCATGCTGTGTGTGAAATTTGAAGCACCCTGTATATGCAATAAAATACGCCTGTCAAATAAATTTTCCCATGTGCCAAGTTTTTAACTTCACTTCGCTTTTCAATCGAATAAATGTATTTTCAATGCAAAAAATGTCAATAAAATACAATACCATACCATTACTACCTAGTTAGAACTATGATTAAATGTTATGATTTCCAGTATACATATATTTAATTTTTTTCACAACAGTTACCGACATGTACATATGTATGTATGTATTTTATTAAATTAAAAAAAAAAACAAAGTAAAATAAGAAAAAGTTTCAAATTGAAGTTTAAAAATATTGCAAATGAATTTTACAATAAATAAAATATTATTTTGATAATTTTCTTTTATAAACCAAGTAAAACATTATTGATTAAAGCAATAATTTTTTACTTTTAACAGTGTTTTACTTTGTTATTTTTTGTCGTTGTTCTATAGTCATTTGGTTTTGAGCTTTCTTTGAACTCACGTGACCCAAAATTTTGTAAAAGAACATGTTTCTAAAGTCCAGGTAAAAAAATAGTTTTATTATGTATAAAATTAAATGTGTTGGTATAGAATATTTATAACTTGTGCTGTGTACTGAACATAAACTTATTGTTTGGCTATATGTGTTATGTTTAGTTGAGAAATGAGCTGAACGTAACACTTATTAGTGGCACAACATAATGCATATTTTATACATGTGAATATAGAAGCATATTATACATACATATAAGTCAAACACATGTTAAAAATAAAAAAAAAAATCATTTCATATATTAATAAAATATTAAAAATAAAAAGAGTTTTTTTAGACAATAAATAACATTTTACAATGCTCTTTTTTTAAATCACTTAAAATACATTGTATATTTATTGCACTATGCAGTTAAGCAAGTTGCTACATATCTACATGCAATACACACACACATGCATATTTATTTATTAAATCTTTGTTAAATTCGCATTTCACATTTCTTTTTTGACACAAACAATATTTGTGCGTATAGTAATAAGTACACACATATATGTACATATTTACGAATTATACGAAATAACTAATGTACATGCAACATAAAACATTGTTTTTCGAAAAAAACCGCCACAAATAATTTTTTTTGTTGTATTTAATACATAATTATATAATTTTTTTCGTAGATTTCATTCTTATCAAACAAGATCACATGTTCGTCAAAAGGAATATTTCACAATAAAAATTTACATATTTAGTCAGCAATTTTTACCTTTTCAAATTTATAAATAAAGGTAAGAAAGAATTTGTTTCAAGAATATGTACTTACATATTAAATTGATTGAAATTGTTTATGTTTATAATTCTTATTGAAAGGTTTAGTCTTAACAATATAGAACTACTTATACAAAGTCATATTTACCATCAGAGTAAATTTTACTTTCAATTCTTATAAAATAATCTTAAGGCGCTGGCGTAAAATTAAAACTTGTAATTTTCAAATCACTGAAGTAAAAAAAAGAAACAAGTACTAAAAGAATAATAAAAATTTTTTAATTTATAAAATTCGAAATGCAATGCAAGAAAAGCTCCGTCGGAAGAAAAAGTTTAACCACTCGCTTTTATGTTGAATGCAGATGGAGAACTAAAAATAAAATTATATTAAATCAAATTAATGGCACTATTTTTTTCTATATCAATCAACATTTCATTCATATCTTAATAATATACCTGTCTCGTCAGGTACTAAAAAAATAGTAGCATATAAAACAACAAAGAACGAATAAAGTAATTAAAGCATTGTACACAAAAAATTAAATTAAATCTACACACATGCTATTAGATACTTTAAATCAAAGTATATCTATTTTATAAGTAATTCGACTCTGCGTTTACACATAAACTCCTATTATGTACAAGACATCTTAATATTTTTGCAAATTATTAAGTCAACTTCTTTTTTTAAATAAACTTTAGTATAACTCGTATTTTTTGAAAATCTATATTTGTTTTATACTAACAAAAAAAATTTAATTAATATAAATTATAAATCTTCATTTTATTTAATAACCAAATAATAAATATAGTGAATAAAATTATTCACTAAATTTAAATTAATATTAAATTTTAAACAACAAATAAAACTATTTTACCACTCAGCGATACAGCCTTCCCGTACGAAATTTATATGTGTACCACTACCCTGAAAAATGTTGTAGAAATTTAGACGTACTACGACTTTCGAATATACTTTTTTTTTTATCAAATACCATATTTTAAGTTAGCACTGATTATCAAAAGTACCCAATGTTTTCTTCAATATGTATAAAGATTTTTAGTAAAATTTTCTAATATGAGGAAAATTTGATTAGAGTTTGGTGAATTTTCTTACGCAAAATTTTTCAATTTAAAATTCATTTTAATTTTTTTCATAATTTAACTCAGCTCAGTAACCTTTTAACTGGCAATGAAGAATGTCCGTACGACATCAATCAAATTTCTATAAATTTTAAGAAATATATTTTTAGTAAAATTTATTTTAAATGAAAACTTTCCACTTATACTTACTAGGATTGTGTTTGTACTAAAGAAATTGAATAATTTTCTTTTTTTTGAAAAAAAAATTTGAATACACAAAAGCAAATATTTTAAAACATTTTTTAAACCAGTTTTGTTTTCATAACTGTGTATTCACCAAGCATGTGTACATATGTATATAGACATGTACATACAATATAACAATAAATGAAATTTTAAACTCACTTATTTTCATTATGATATAAAAAAAAATATTAAAAATAAATTGTTTTTAACTAAATTTATTTTAGTTCAATTTGCTATTTTTAATACACTCGCTTAGTGAAATAGTGGAAGTGGTAAGCAAACGGAAACTAAGGGTTTAGAACGAGTCGAAGTTTTTATAAAATAGACGTATTTTGGTCTGAAACAGATGATCAGAATAGCTGATCATTTGATGGCAGTTAAAATCAACCGTTATCTTAAACCAATACGTTGTTAAATTGTTTGATATAGTTTTTCTCTTAGGCGATTTAAAGGCAACTGTTCATCATTAAAAATTGACGTTTCCATTGTGGGGATAGTTTCCTCTGTGTATTGCGACTTTATATGCAAAAAGAATCGGTTTGGTCATTTAAAAAAATGAATAATACAGCTTCATTCACTTTCCTTTCTCGAAGTTTAGTTTTTGTTTTTCACTGAATTTTCTTTCATTTGTAGTAATAATAGCAAGTGTTTGTAGTTTGGTGCAAAAAGCACTTCATTTTTGTTGGTAGAACTGCAAAAGAACTTCTATCAAATTGGCAGCACAAAATTTTAGTATGCTTTTATACATATTTACTCGTACAACCCAATTATTAAAGAGAACTCGTTATTGAAATATACGAGTAATACGGTCGCTGGTCGCGAAAACTGGCTGAGGAAGATTTGTAATGTAATTCTACAAAGGGAAACCAGTTTAAAAAAAAAAAAAATATAAAGTTGTTTTAAAATCATTACATACCTTAAATAAAATTCGATTCATTCTAAAGTGACTAGAAAATATTAAATATATAAAACGGAGAAAGTTTTGTATTTTTGGGATTTTCCCTTTTTCCAACTTTCGCTGTCATATTTAACAACTTTTTTTAAATTTCCAATATCTTTATTTCTCTTTTAATTTTCTTCTTTTTACTTTTCATATTATTCAGAAACATAAATAAATAAAAAAATTTAAAATTAGCTGTTAATGTCTTTAAAATATGAATCAAACTTTTAGTTGTATTGCAGTGCAGTTTTAACTCATAAGATACCTCGCAGTCAGAACTGCAAATGCGAATTTAACCAGTCTTTGCCTTAAAATTCCCTTCCAAGTTATCGCCTCTGTAAAATAGTAAACGCTTTACAAAATTTATGTGAAAATCAAAAAATCGTGATAAATAAATTGTCGCAAAACATTGTTATTTGTCTTAGCTCACTCAATTAGTTGTTCACGTTCTTTTCTCTCCTAAGTATGTAAGTATGAGTAAGCAAAAAGTATGTAATAATTTTATATATATATATATGTCTAGCTACTTTTAAGGTGTAAAGAAATACGAGTACTTTTGTCCCAAGTCTCTAGGGCTAGAAATAAGATTTTGCTAGTGGGATACCAAAAAGAATCTGACATTGAAACCTTTTAGTCCCGAAATAGCCCTATTTTAGAACAACTCTCATTTCATTTAATATGGTTTTAAAAGTGATCTTGATAATTTTCTTTGCTTTTTTAGCACTTTTCCAAAAAATTTTTGAAAAAAAGTGCTTATTAGTTTCACTCTGTCCGTCCGTCCGTCCGTCTGTCTACCCGTGTGTCTGTTTACAAAACTTCTACACCCTTGAAGATAGGAAGCTGAAATTTTGTACGTACATAGATTTTTACTAGAAACTTATTTTCGTAGAACAAAATTTTTATCTATCTCCCCCCCTTTAGAAGTTATACCCCCCCGAAACCCTAAAAATGCCATTCTTTAACTATTTAGCGCAATGAAACCTTAAGCATTTTTCAAATTTTGCAAACGCGGAAAGCCAGTGGCTTGCTTCCCCTAGCGGGGTATACTAAAGGTTAACTTTAGAAAAACAAAATGGCCGCTCAAATTTACCGTTATCTAAAGTCCGTTTTTTCCAAATTTTTGATGTCGTTTATTTTCTAGACCCCAACCTGTAGAAGCTTGAAATTTTATGGACTTTTAGACATTAACAAATAATTCATTTCGTTGGAAAAAAATTTTTTTCCATCTCCTTCCGCTCTCAAGTTATTGCCTCTTGAAATTTGTAAAATTTGAATTTTTGACACCTTATATTTCCGAAACCGCAAGATTTTTCAAATTTCTATAAACACAAAAAGCTAACGGTAAATTCCATGACATTAAAAAATATAATTATTTTTCTTAACTCACATAATTAAACCTTAAAATCGAGCATTATGTTAACCCCTCTTTATAGTAATTTTTGCTTTATTTCAAAGGCATGTATGTATCATCCTAAATATATGCAATCTTAGAAAGAGTTTTGTATATGAATGAAAATAATTTTTAGAATGTGTGATAGGTATACATAGACTGTATTTAAAAGCAGAATTTTCACTTGCTGAAGGGAAAAGTGCTACAATACAAACCATTGGTTTGACCCAACTTTATTTTTAACTCTTTTTAAATTCAATTCCTTATTCAGCAATTTTGCTCTTTAACCCTACCCTTTCAGTACCCTATCCTTTCATTTGGAAAACAGGAAAGGTTAATATATGTATGTTAAAAATTACAACCTTTTTCAAAAGGATTTTAAAATCAATTTTTTTGAAATTTAAAATTTTAAATTAATAAAATATGTAGAATCAGTAAAGCTAAAAATATTGAACAGCTTCCTTTACACAAATAATTTCCGACACCTTAATAAGAACCTTATTTATACATTTTTACTGTTGTCGTCAGTTGTAGCAAACGGGCAGTTCAAGAGTATAACGGACAAGCATTAACAAAAAAACAGCATTTTTCCAACCCAAATACATATGTACAGAAATTATCAGTGATCTGCAAAAAATTTTGGTTCTTCGAGAATTATTTTGACTTAATATATTGGGGCATACATATATTTTAAATTGAAAATTACAACTATACCACAGGATTTATTTTCACAAAAATGGCAACAAAATTTTCTAATGCGAATTCAAAGTTCCTTTTTTATTAACTTTATCTGACTTATTAAAAAATATTCCATATTTTTGATAAAATTAAATTTTGCCCAATTTTTGAAAACAAATATTCACATAATATGCAAGTTAAAGGAGTATTGTTAACACGTTGAATATTATTTGTTCGGAATTGCTTGTTGAGTCGTCATTCATATGGTTTGCAATTGTATTATAGTCCCTCATTATTTGTTCGGCTGTTTTTGTGAATACCCTGTTGATTTTGTACTGCTCATTATTGTTTTCAATTATATCGTTCTGGCTTCTGATAATATTATCCCAGTCGGTAGCGTCAGGTGAACCCGCTAGCGTCGGCTTCTTCCTTCTCGCCCTCTAAGTTCCGATATCAGGTTCAATATTTGGTTAAGTTAATGAGCTATTTGGAATTTACGACCGCTTGTTTTATTTATTTTACTTAATGAAAGTAACATTGCATCTGTTATATCCTTGTATTCCATGAGGTTGATGATGTGCACCAATTTAAGGTTTCCACTTAAGATTTTTCCTCCTCTTTCTTTAATGGCTGTTATCGGAATGCTATATTTGTATAGGTTGAAAGGTTGACTTATTGCCCACAAGCTGAAAATTGTTAAAAAAAATTTTAATTAGTTAATTTTTTTGATTTGTGACTTGTGCACTCTTCTTCCTGATGTAGTAACTATTGTTACTTTGTTGTCTTTTGCTACGGTTTCTCTTATAAATTTTGGTTTCGTTTTCCCTTGAATTTGCTTAATTGCTGTGAAAACGATTTCACCTTTCTTATAGTTTTTCAGTTTATTTCTTTTTTGATTCTCACGACTTATTTTGGTCTTTTGATTTCTTCTAATGCGTTCTACGAGGTCCTCATTTATTTTTTCTTTGAAGTCTACTAGCCTTTGATAGTTAATTCGTTCGGGTCTACCGAAAAATATGTCAGTAGGTTTTCTTCGTGTTACAGAGTGAAATGTGTTATTATATCTGTCTACTGCTATGTTTACTAATTCTTTTAGGGATAGTTCTTTACACTCGTTGGTGAGACATCTTAAAATTTCAATTATTGTCGAATGCACACGTTCTACGGCCTCTTTTACCTCGCTTTTCTGTTACTCGGATGGTGTGAAGTATATTTCTATTCCGAGTGTTTTGAGGTAGTCTGTTACTATGGGACTTGTAAAGCTGGCTTCGTTATCCATTACTATCATCATAGTGTAGTAGTGTATAATTTTAATTAGCTTGTCCCCTATATTAAGTACAGATTTATCTTTAATGTGAAAAAATTTTGTAAAATTTGAAAATTTATCTATGCAACTGATGAATTTTTTATTATTTCTGTTGGATATGCTGGTATGGGTGTTGATTGTAATTCCGGTTTATTGGGATGCCTGTCGTATTTGTTGATGTTACATACTTCGCATGTTTTAATGAAGTTTTTAATCCGTGATGTCATGTTCGGAAAGTAATACTTCTCTAGGATTTGTTCTTTAATTTATCTGTAGTTTCTGT